CCAAAGAAATGTTCTGACCTTTTCTGCCGAGATGGTTGCAACCGGCTCCGCCTCGATCCACTTGCTAAAGTAGTCTACTGCTACTATCAAAAATTTTAGTTGCCGCACAGCGATCGGAAATGGACCGAGAATATCAATTCCCCATTTGTGAAAAGGCCAAGGAGACAGGATCGAATGTAGTCGCTCAGCTGGGGAATGGTGCAGGGTAGCGTGTCGTTGGCATCCATCACATTTCTGGACCCAATTGACGCAGTCGTTCCTCAAAGATGGCCAGAAGTAACCTGCACGGGCAACCTTGTAGACCAAAGCTCGGCCACCAATATGGCTACCGCACATTCCACTATGTATCTCGTCCATCACTCTCTGCGCTTGTGACATAGTCAAACATCTCAGGAGAGGAGAGCTAAAACCTCTTCGATACAGCCTTTCATTGATGACTACGAACCTGGCTGACTCCCTTTGCACCAACGATGCCTCCCTCTTGTCTTTCGGTAACTCCCCCCGAGTCAAATATTCAATGTATGGCGCCATCCAGGAATTTAGCTCTTCCTGGATGAATAGGACATTTCCTCGCACCTCGTTTATACTCGGTTGCGACAGTGTTTCTTGGATGACTGACCGAGTAGCTCCTGGCTTCTTTGTGCTTGCAAGCTTGGAGAGCAGGTCGGCCCTAGAATTTTGCTCTCTTGGTACATGATTAAGTGTGAATTTTCGGAAGCTTTCCGAAAGGTGCTTAACCTTCTCCAGGTACTTGGCCAGTTGAGGGTCCTTTGCTTGGAAAGTACCGGCTACCTGTCCCGTGATTAATTGGGAGTCACTTCGTGCTGATAAGCTTGTCGCCCCCATTTCCTTTGCGAGTGTCATACCGGCCAACAATGCTTCATACTCGGCCTGGTTATTACTTGCCCGGAACTCAAATCGCAAAGACTGTTCCAACAAAATTCCTCCCGGTCCTTCCAAAACAATCCCTGCTCCACTTCCTCCAAGGTTCGAAGCTCCATCTACTGATAGGATCCACTGCGTGTCTTCAGTTCGAACCTCCCCCACTGGTGAGGTTAATTCCATTACGAAGTCAGCCAGCGCCTGAGCTTTGATTGCGCCTCTCGGTTCATACTTGATGGAGTGCTCCGACAACTCCACCGACCACTTCATCATCCTTCCTGCCAAGTCAGGTTTTTGCAGTATTTGCCTAATCGGGTGATCTGTTCTGACTACCACCTCGTAGCTCTGGAAGTAATGTCTCAACTTGCGTCCCGTAACCAGTATCGCCAGGGCTAACTTCTCGATTTTTTGGTAACGAATCTCCGCACCTTGCAGCACCCTGCTAACAAAATAAATAGGCATTTGAGAACTACCTCTTTCTTGTACTAAGACTGCACTGATGGCGCTATCGGAAGCCGACAAATACATCAGTAAAGGGAGATCGGCTTGCGGTTTGGAGAGTATTGGTGGCGAGGTGAGAGACTGTTTGAGTTCGCCGAACGCCTTCTCGCATTCCTTTGTCCACGCAAAACGGTCGTTTTTCCTCAAGTACTGGAACAAAGGCAACGATTTATCCGCTACCTTGGAGAGGAACCGAGAGAGGGAAGTCATCCTTCCAGTTAGTTGCTGGACCTCTTTTACCGTCGCCGGGCTTCTCATATTGATGATCGCGGAACACTTCTCGGGATTTGCCTCAATACCACGATGAGTCAGTAGGAAACCGAGGAACTTTCCCGCTTGGACGCTGAAGGAGCACTTCGCAGGATTCAACTTGAGTCGATAGCGCGCCAAAGTGTCGAAGCATTCTTGAAAGTCGGCGGAATGCCGGACTTTACCACCATATCATCCACGTATGCCTCGACATTCCTCCCTAACTGCTTTGCCAGGACTTTGTCCATGAGCCGCTGGTACGTTGCTCCCGCGTTCTTCAAACCAAAAGGCATGACCTTGTAGCAACAAGTAGCCTGGTCGGCTATGAAGGCCGTTTTGTCCTCATCTGCTGGATGCATCCGGATTTGGTTGTAACCGGAATAGGCGTCCATGAAACTTAACAACTCGTATCCCGAAGCACCGTCGACGAGGCAGTCTATGTTGGGGAGTGGGTATGAGTCTTTCGGATAAGCTTTGTTCAGGTCAGTGAAATCTGTGCACATCCTCCAACTTCCATTACTTTTTCGTACCATTACTACGTTCGCCAGCCACGTCGGGTATTGAATTTCCCGAATGTGGCCAGCTGCCAGCAATTTCCTTGTCTCCTCCACTATAGCCTTCCTTTTGTCTTCTCCAAACTTTCGCCTTTTCTGAATTACAGGTTTCGCCTTGGGGTCGACCATGAGGTGGTGACATAAGAAATCAGGATCAATGCCCGGCATATCTCCGGCACTCCATGCGAAGGCCGATATGTTGCTCTTTAGCACTGTGATTAGACCTTCCTCGTCTTCCTTGTTTAAGGATACACCAATCTTGACAATTTTTCCCTCGGTCAGGGTAACCTCCTTTACATCCTCCGCTGGGGCTGGTCTGGTATCAAAATGATTCACTCTCGGATCCAACTCGATCGACTGAACACCCCGATCAACCTGTGTCACGTATAGATGTCGCCTCGCCCTCAAACTGTCCTCGTAGCATTTCCTCGCTACGTCTTGGTCCACGCAGACAACACCTACCCTTCCGCTGGGTAAAGGGTACTTCAGCTTCAAGTGAGGAGTGGAGACGACCGCTCCCAGCTTATTTAGTGTTGGTCTTCCGACTAGTATGTTGTAGGATGATTGAGCGTTTACTACTAGGTATCGGACAGTGACAGTTTTCATGTCGTCTCCCTGGCCGAATGTTGTCTCCAAGTCGGCATATCCCCTGGCTGTCACCTGATCGCCTGCAAAACCAACCAACGTACCTGCGTACGGCATGAGACGATCGGCCGGAATCTTCATCCCGACAAAAGCTTCCCAGAACATGATATCCGCCGAACTGCCTTGGTCCACCAATACTCGTTTCACGTTGTACCCCATGACGATTGCCGAGACAACTATAGGGTCATCCTCATGGGGGGATACCCCCTCAAAGTCGGCATCTAAAAAAGTGATGGGAGGCCGAGAAGGCCTCGCCCAATCTGCCACAGACAGAACCGACCGAGAGTATCTCTTCCGAGCCGCCGAAGTCGGCCCTCCTCCAGCAAATCCTCCTGCGACTGTGTTGAAGTCCCCATGGACGGCCTGCTGGTGAGCTTCCGTAACTTTCTGTGGGGGATCCCTTAGGGGTGATCTCACTTCTCGCCTTCCTCCCCTGGCGTCTTCATTCCCCGGCCTTCGTCGTCTGTCGGATGAGCCCTCACCCTGCTTTCCGGCAATAAACTTCTTCAAGCGACCCTCCTTAATAAGGCGTTCAATCTGCCTACCCAAAACGAAACAACTCTCCGTCACATGTCCGTGAGTTCGGTGAAACTCGCACCAATCGGATTTGAGAGGTCCCAACTGTCTGTCAGTCGGCGCGGGAAACTCGAAAAGCGATGCGCTGCTCACATCATGCAACACGTGGCGTCTGGGGACATTAAGTGGTGTAAATTTTTCTTCTTCACTGTGACGCGTCAAATTGGCCCTTGGCCTGGCGGCATAATCAGCCTTCCTGTAGTTACCCTCCTCCGTCTTAATGTGACTCAGCGCAAAAGCTCGCACCTCCGACATCGTCTGACAACTTGCCCTTTCCAGCACAATGTCGAAGGCTCCCGACCTCAGTCCCTTTTGGAATGCGATAACGGCCATCTTCTCATCCAGAGACGCTATCCTCAAAGCAACCTCGTTGAATCTTTGCAGGAAATCCTTCAATGACTCTTCCCGCTGCTGCTTGAGATCAAACAGATCCGACGTGATCAGCGGCTTCTTTTTGTTGGCGGCGAACTGTGCCATGAACATTCGGCTGAGCACGTCAAAATCGGTGATCGACCGATCCGGTAAGCCTCTAAACCAATCAAGTGCAGCCTTTTTAAGGGTGCCCATGAACAGTTTACAACGAACTTCCATGCTTCCCCCACATATCAACATTTGGGCCCGGAAATCTGTCAAGAATGGTCAAAAATCTCTAGGGACCTCCAGCATGACATCCTCCTCCAAAGTCCTGGTATTAGCCGTTATTCTGGCCTGCATCTCATCCGCCCTCCTCCTGATCTCCTCATTCTCACGTTGAATGGCTTCTTCTCTCTCCCTGGAACGCGCATTCTCCTCTCGTAGGCCGTTGATCATGGCCATCATCTCTTCCATGGTGGGGGGTTGTGAATTGTTGTTGTTGCTGCTGCCTCTCGCCATGATAGGGCGTAGGTTTTTGTGTTTCTTGGGGCGTAAGGAAAAGTTTCACCGTAGCCCCACGGTGGGCGCCAAAATGTTCCGGCCACGGGGTGCACTAGGGTTTTTCCTAGGTCAAGCCGCAAAGCCAGAGCATTCAAAAAGTGTAATCTGCCTCCTCAACTCTAGGGTTTAGGGTTTTATGGTGCGTCGTTCATGGGCTACTTGGGCCCCGAGGATCAAGGGATTTCCTTAACCGTAAATATTTGGGGAATATTTTATCGTATAGGATGGGATTTTATTCTTGATATCGGAACAACATTTACGTGGGAAGGGTAAGTCGGATTTTGGCCGAGTACCCCCGGTTGAGCAAACAGGTCGGCTATTTACCGAATGAACTCGGCTGAGTCAGTAGCCTCTCGATCTCTTCTTTGATTTTTTCGATCACCTGCGGAGCAAACATTCGTGGGTTTTGTTTCACTGGTTTCTTCCCAAAAATCATAGGCAACCTATGTTCTACTAAATTTCGATCCAAACCAGGCATTTCTTCATAGTCCCAAGCGAAGCAATCTTTATATTCGTGCAAGACCTGCACGATTTGTTCTTTAACGCTTTCCTCCGCTAGTTTGCTAACATAGGTGATTCTCCTCTTTTTGATTGTACCCAGATTGACTTCCTCTAGAGGATCATGAGATTCCACTTTAAGCCCATCATTTTCTATTTTCTCGAATCCTAGAGGAGCGTCGTCAAAGACACAATCAATTCTTTCTTTGATTCCTTCCGAATCCCCATTCTGCTCATCCTCGAGTCCTACTTTGAGAGACTCTTTCTCAACTGTTTCGATTACCTCCTTTTGGTTTTCCTCTTTTTTGTTGGCCTCCGTAGCCGTTATGGTTTCGATCTTCATCGAATATGTGCCCCCTTGGGCTATTTCGACTTCACTACTCTCCTCGGCCTTGTTGGCCATTCTTTCAGCCATGTAGGCCGAAATTCGAGCTAAGAAGCTCGAACAAGGATCTTGTCTCATCATTCTCGCACCTGAGACGATTCAGTTTCGGCTCTGTGGATAACAAATCCTCTTCGAACATCTCAACAGAAAGTCTTCTTAACACCCTCTTCTGCCTCCAAGACACATGGGTCTATGGCATCGAAAGGCTTCATTTTCGTGAATTGAGTAATTTGTTGATCCGCGAAATACATTCCCGTCTCATACTCTTTCTGATCTGCATCCAACACTTCTAAGTGTTCTTCATCATTCCAGAAAAATACTTTCTGGTGCACTATCGAGGTACTGCTCCCATTCCGTGGATCCATTCTCTTCCTAACAGCATATTAAAGTTAGCTTTCGAGGGAGTGACAATAAACATGGTGGTCCTTCTTACACTTCCAATTTGCACATTTAGCAATATCATCCTTTCTGGTTGAGAAGATTTTCCAGCATAATCAGAAATAAGGATATTGTGAGGTTTCAGATCTGCCAAAGTCTTCCCAAAACGTTTCAGCATCGTCTGTGGGAGTATATTTATAGCAGCACCTCCATCCACTAGGACTTTGTTGATTTCAACTCCTTCGATCATAAGGGTCAACAGTAAAGGTTTCAGATGGTCCTTCATTTCTGAGGTAGGTGAATCAAACACTGCTGAATTAAACTTTGGAATGACTCGAGATATTTGATTCACCCATACTATTTTTGACTCATAGTTGGGGTCACTGAAAAAATCTTCACAGTGTATGTCTTCCTGTTCATTCACAGATTCCATTGCTTCAGCATATTCGAAAGGTAGGATGGAAACCACTCCACAAATATCTTCGAGAGAGTCCTCGAAGCCACTTTCAAAACAATCCGTAATCAAATCTTCTTCATCTTCTGTGAATTTCTTAGATGTCTCACTTTCGTAAGGTACAGGAATCGAAAATTGATTATGTTTGCGTCCCTCGAAAGATGCCTTTCTCATTCTCTGTTGCCTTCTCCACTGAGTCTTGGTGAGGCCATTAAAAGGATATTTAATTCCTGTTCCAGAACCTCCTAGCATGTTTGACACAAATCTGGGTCCTCCAGAAAATGGGTTTTTCGAGTGGTTCACAATTTGCTTTCCTCGACCCACTCCGACATTGGGCAATTGTGGAGAAGTCCACTTCCTAATAGGAACATGCGCATTTGACAGGTATGTATTACCAACTCGGGAGGAGTTGTACATCTCCATCTTTCCGATGGGAACCATAGGAGCATTACCTTGTGGCATATGAACTTGACGCATCACTATGCCAGTGTTCACTTTCGACTTTCCTCGAGCCTTCTCAGATTTATAATTTTTCATAATTTTAGATTCCTCAAAAGCCTTAGCCGCTGATCTATCAAACACAGCGCTACATCTCGGGCAAAGC